TCCCAGGGTCTTTAGGAAAGACCCTGGTATCGGCTGGTCACGTGCCTCGTCCAAAATTGATCGCCCGAGGGGGTGTGGTGAAAGTATCAAATTACAAACAGTTAAAAACAAAAATTTTGCCAACTACTCCAGTAAGTTCAAAATACTTACTAATTTTTGTTTATTTTTTGCTTTGAATTTTAATACAAGAACATTCTTACATTTTTACCAACAGTCAAGTCAAGAAACCAAGCAAATCGTTATTCGCAGTGCTCTCTCGTGTTATTATCAGCGCGGTGTTATAACAAACGTTTGTGGACCTTTATGGGCTTTTCACAGTGTATGGGCTTTTCACATATGTAATGTTTTTAAAACACGCATTAGATTTGTCCTTTCTTGTAAACGTTGCTATGCTTTGCACGACTTGTTTATAAGATTTTTAAAATAAACAGTATTGTATTGTATTGTCTAGGACTAGAGAGTAGAGCCCAATATCAGCAAATGTAAACATTTGATACTAGCCAAACAGAGAAATGTCTGTCAGTGATTTATCTTTAAAATTTTGGATTTAGTACATAATTCGTATTCATTAATTATAGTAAGGCTTTAGCCTTTTTCTTGGTCTGATAATGTTTTCCTAATATACAGACAACTAGGCTATAATCTACATCACAAATTTACAGTGTCAGACGCGCACAGCCACAGACTGCCATACGAATACACATAAATTTTCGAGTTTTCTACTTCTACTAAGGCTACTAACAGTTTTAGTTCATCTGTTTATTTCTAGTTCAATAAGCTCATTTATATTTCTATATTTATTTGATAGTGGCATATATAGTGATACATGTAGGCTATTTACACACAAGCAATCCTGGATATGATAGAGACGATCAGTACGAGCTGTCCATTAAAAAAAGAACGGTATTCTATTCCACAAAGCAAAAAATTTAAATCTCACTTGTATTATTAATGTAGTGTCTAGCATAATTAACATAATAAACATTAATTATGGACCACGAGGAGGAAGCAAGATGGCGATATAGATGCAACTGTAAGATTATGTTCTGTTAGAGATTATTAAAGAAAGCATAGATAACAATGTTATAGACAACATTATATTGGCGACGAGGATCGTTTCATATACAAGTACCTCAAATGGCGACTAGCTTACCAGAATTTGCTTCTTTTAACGCCGAGAATCGGGAAAATATCGAAATTCGATGGCAACGATGGTTCATGCAATTCGAAAATCTACTGATTGCACTCGATATAAAAGACAAGAAAAGAAAACGAGCGTTATTATTATACTATATCGGTGAAAGTACTCTAAATATCTTTGAAACACTGCCAGAGACAGAAGACGACTATGACGAAGCGTGTCAAGCTTTAAATGAACACTTTAAACCTCGCAAGAATACATCGTTTGAAATATTCAAGTTCAGGAAAACAAACCAACTTGTTGACGAAACTCTCGATCAATACCATGTACGACTCGTCCAGAAAGCTAAGTACTGTGAATTCTCAAACTTAGATACTGAGATAAAAGCTCAAATTGAGCTAGGGACCAATTCCCCATACCACAACTCAAGTTGCACCGGCCACACTCATGTTTGGTAGGAACACCCGCACAAGATTACGCCAGACTGATACTAAAACCGACAAGAATGCCCTTGATCATTCCGTCGAACAACGCGATAAAGAACAACGACAATGCATGAAAGAATATGCAGATCGACGGAGACAAAGTAAGACGACAACCATGAATATTGATGATTATGTACTCGTAAGACAACAAAAGCACAACAAATTTACCCCGAATTTTGATCCCAAACCGCTACGAATAATCACAGTAAAAGCAACGATGATTACTGCAGAAAGACCAGGATTCACTATTACTAGAAACCAATCGTTTTTCAAACCTATTAAAACAACTGGGCTGTCTTCTGAAGATGAGGAGGAAATGGAAGATAGTGATGAACATGAAGAACAACGTGATATTGGAGACAATGAAAATAACAACAATCACAACCGAGATGAACAACAAAATCTAGAACGACAATATCCAAGGAGAGAACGAAGAAGGCCGAACTATTATCATTAAGCCTTATTGTAAATAGAAAGGGCTGACAGTGACAGTCATATAACTTGTTGGACAATCAACAATTTGTCTTAGCATTCATATTCTGTTTTGGTAAATACCAACACATAGATATAGTGGTAGATGATTAACAACGAACAGCAATTGTGAAAAACTCTGAGAAAAGGAGGGATGTAGTGTCTAGCATAATTAACATAATAAACATTAATTATGGACCACGAGGAGGAAGCAAGATGGCGATATAGATGCAACTGTAAGATTATGTTCTGTTAGAGATTATTAAAGAAAGCATAGATAACAATGTTATAGACAACATTATAATTAAGAATATATATAAAGCAGAAAATTTAAAGCTTGTGAGTTGTGTCAAAACGAAAGCTGTTTATAAAATTTATAAATGTGGTATAAACACAGTACTAGGCTAAACAGTGCTCATTGAAAGACGTAAATATATTATCCTTTGACTTATCTTTGATGTATGACTTTACTGTAATACCGTAGATTTTCAACAGACAGCTAGACTTTGACATATACCATGATCGTTGAGATCTTGCAGGAAATTTTATAGTCTTGACGGGATTTAAGTTTTTTGATAAGGCCTTTATAATCAACAATCTCGATACAGTTGGCGTCTTGGCAATATTTCGGAAATCAAAAGATCTCGCTATTTCGTTCCAATTCCACATCCCATCAATAAATAAATTCTTTTGGTCCGAGAATCAGGATATACTTTAATACTAACAGTTAAATAAATATAAACCACATTGGTCGGTCTAGAGATATGAATTTTCTTGTAGGCTTATTGCCACGCCGTCCATGCGTGCTTTCTTTGGCAAGTCTATAAGTTGAAATCTGATCCAACTTGCTTGAATTGTAACTTGACACTAGATTATACAGCAGAAAGTCACATCACGATAAATATTAATTTTTAATTGCAGTTGTCTTCACGATTTCTTGTTGCAAATTTAAAATCCATCACACAAAATTGCAAAAATTGTTACAAACGCGACAAACACGCTCCTCTCCCACCCTGCCCATAGTATCATTTTAATTTATCACCCAGAATCTGGGTGACACGTGACCAGCCGAAACCAGGGTCTTTCCTTCGCCTCGCGCCGTTCTAAGAAAGACCCTGGGAACGAGGTTGACCTATTGTGATGCTGCACGTACTTCATGTAATACAAATTATAGAGGTTTTACTGTACATTGAAGCATTGCATGTCAAAGCATTGCATTTTAAAGTAAATTGTATGGATTTTTTTTAAATAAAAGACCTTTTTGGGAGACCTATGGTAATACTATTTATATTAAAGATGCGGTAAAGTCCGTTCTGCACATATATTCTGCGCATCAAAACATTCCATCAGTGGGGGAGCAACCTTTGGAATGTTGTTAATATTTTGCACCTTTCGAACTTTCTTGAATTGAATCTCTAGTCTGTATTCATTTACAAGCATAACGATATAATAGTATATAATATATATCTAATCATATTTTACAACTGTAGCACTGAGTTCAAAATGTAAACAAAGCGTTTGTTTACATTACGGACTTTACATCACCTTTAATTGTTGCCAATGTTTGTCTGGGTCTTGGCGGGGGTCGAATTTTCGTGACGTCAATTGTGGACAACGCTATTACTCGCAGCCAGTAATTAAAGCCAGTCAATTTATTAGAGATTTGTATTGCAGAATGGCCATTTGGCTGAATAAATCGACTATTTTTCGCAAACGAACGATTCAAATTACAAACCATGGCTGCTGGTTGTAATTTGAAGGTTAGTGAATACATTTCTGTTGGTTATGAGCTGTTAAAGAATTGCTAAATGCGAAATTTAAACGTATTAATACATGTTGTTTACTTACAAAGTATAAAGTACAGTATATTAACATATGATAGTTTGGTTTATTTATTGGAAAAATTCGATGTAATCAAAGTAATATTGTAGTAATAGGAATGAATGTTAATTCATAATCATGATATTTTAGTTACATAAAAATAAATAACATCATTTTCTGATATTGTTTGTATTTGTAGTTCAACATGTCAGACACAGACAGACAACTTCCCGCACGAAATAAATTTGATTAATTGCTCGTGACTTTGAAATTTATACTTTTTTAATTAAAATTTGATGCAATCCAAAACCTGTACTGATAAGATTTGACATAAACCTCGAAAATCGAAATAAATAACACAGTATACGCGATCGACTGTCGGCATTTCATTCAGATTCGGACTGTAGCTCACACAACAATATCAAATTTCTCCCTAAATATTCGTTTCTTTCTATGCTAACCACAATAATAATTTAGGCTTACATTGCCTCTGCAGGCAGTTGTAGTAGTTTGATATTCCAATCCTTTGTTTCCGAAAAGTAGTCGATTTTGTGATCAAAATGTACATTTCGTAATACAAATCCCTATTGCACTGACTGGCTTTACTGGTAGGCCGTGAGATGAGGGTCGAAAATATGCTTAGAAAACAGATTCCGTAGCACCCCTCGTGTAACATAATTTTTACATGAATCTATAGATTATAACTTAGTTAGAATCCACTTACCGCCAAGCGAAATAGTTGCACAAATTGAAGTATAAGCACTTCAAAGTTCACGCTTCCTCGTGTTTCGGAATCCATGAACCGCCATTGTTGTGTTGCAAATACGCATGCACTTGAGCACAAAACACGTAATGCGCATGCGCAGATAAGAAAAACTGATCTCAACTGGGACTGGACAAGAAAAAATTATGAAATGTGCGAAAGCAGGGCTGAAGTAAAACAAGATGACATCGGAATATTTTAAAAATATATGATATTTTTATGTTCTGTGCATTTTAATAAAGTTTACAAACATTTTGAGCAATGTACCGTGTCGAGCCCTCGCCAGGAACACTTCCAAGCCAACATTACAATAATAACGTATTTAAAATATGATGTTATTTTATACTACAGCAATTGCATAACGTTTGCAAGCGAATCTGTTTTTCAGGCTTTAAATAATATCACAATCCTAAATATTCTAGAACATGCATACCGTAATTTCTCTATCCAATTTATTAGGGGAGAGAGGGGAGGGGGGTTTAATTCTAATATATACAACTGTTTTGCACGTTTGATTCTATTTATATATGCAACATCTGGTACTGTGATTATCAGTAAAATATAATTATCTTTCAAATACAATACTTTCATGTTTCACGATTTTATACATTAATTAATTGGTTGCAGGAGAAAGGGGTGGGGAGTAGGGGTGTGGGGTGCTAAACAGAGAAATTACGATATACCATAAGGAAGTGGTCATTATTTATGGGGAGGGGGGAGTTGGGAAATGGAGAAAATAAGGATTTAAAACTTTGTTGTCTCCCCCTCCAGACTAAAGGCAAACTTTTTGTGCCTCCCCCCTCATAAAAGTAGAAACTTTTCTGACCCCCCCCCCCAGTATAGATTGAAAAATTAACAGCAATGAAACAGGTGTGCATTGCAGGTAAAGTTAGATATCAGGACAATCTGTTCAATCTACCTCATGATGTTTTACCCTAGGGCAGGTTGTTCAAAGGTGGGTTAGCGCTAACCCTAGGTTAAAAGTTTAACCTGCTGTTTTAGTTTGTGTATTTCTGCAGGTCTGTTTATTTCAAAACTTCAGACAAGTAAACTCCTATCTATCCAGACAAGATCTCTGAAGAAATATTTCCAAATTTATAGACAAGCTGTCAGGAAGTTTGCTTTGAATTTTAGGTTAACCTAGGGTTAAGCTAACCCAGCTTTGAACAACCGGCCCCTGGTGAATATGATTCAACCATATATGATTAAAAAATATATATTATGTGTTACTACTTTACAATACAACATTTGTCCTACCATAACCCTAACCCATGACCCGTCTTCATACAGCGAAATGAGATTTTAAGAACTTGTCTTGGGGGGGGGCCGGCATCTACAAAAAGGGACCATACTATATGGAGTGTGTAGAGACGACAGATGGTTGTTGGTGACAAAAAGTTTTGTGTGGTATCGTATGTTCTAGTAGGGGGGTCTGGGGGTATTCTCCCCCAGAAAATGTTTTGTATTTTTCCACCCCTAGAACTGAAATGTGAGCATTTTCTGAAACAGATTTTTGGATATAACAGCGTTACATTGTGTGTTGATAGACAGAATTTGATCAGTTAAGTGTACTTGCATGGTATGTTTATGTAAATACCACAACTGGGTCACTAAGGGGGTAGAAAGCTTGTTAAACTTAGTGGGCCCAACTCCCACGATCGCGAGGCGCTACCATGGTTGGCGCTGAGCAGTAATCCATTGTTGAGATAGTGCAATGTCCACATTTACACCAGCTAAGGGTTTGAAGATGCCAAACATTTACTCTCTTAAACTCATGATCAATTTCCTGGTCAGACGAAGATAGATCACTCCCCTGATCAGAATCGCTTTCTTCGCTTAAATTGCTTGTTTCTCCCCCTACTTCTGGCTCAAATTGGTACGGTAACACTTCTCCTGCCTGTTTATCGTAGGTATTTTCCATAATAATTAGTAAAAGGGTACAATCTCCTTATAAAACTTAGTGAATCTCGATAAACTCGATACAAAAATATATTGTTGTTTTGATTCTACCCAGCCAATGACGTCACACGGGTTCATGTGATCCGAAGATAATTTTTTAAAAAAGATTTTCAAAATGGCGGACGATACAGTGACTTTAGCTGCAAATATCTCGCAAATGAAAAAGTTTGGTAAAGAATTATTATGATATTCATTGTTAGATGATGTAACCCTTTCAAAATAGGCAATAAAAATTTTGGGTGCTAATGTCCTTTAAGGCTTAATACTGGGTAGATTTTGTTAAGTGCATTGTAAATCGTACTATATGTGTATTTTTCAGACAATTCATTGTTTATTGGGTTTGTAACCAAAACGCAGCTTTGCAAACTTATCGAGGAGGGAGACATCAGTCCAGCACTGCAAAACGCCTTATACAAAAGTGTTAGAGCCTTCTATGTTCGCACATTGGAGTATGCCATTGATAACCTGCCATTAAATGATGATTTGCTGGAAAATGCAAAGCTTGTAAATTTCAACAGGAGAGAATATGCCGAACTTTCTGAAGTGGAGTACTTTGTCAATAGGTAAATTGAATTATTATAATTAGTGCTTGGCCTCTATTTTAATGTACTATAATTGGTATTTTACTTGTAAACTCAGGTTCAAAATCCGATGACGATGTACCAATATTTTAGCTGCTCTCTCTCTCTCTTCCCCTCTGCTTATTTTTTCCTTTTCACTTCTATAGATTTGAGCTTCTGTTATCTTTCCAATCCCCTCAAGAAATGGATAAGTTATCTGAAGAATTTGTTGAGTTTCAACTACTCTGTGATGATGACATACGAAAACAGATATATGGGAAAAAGCCACAGTTAAAGTTGACACTGTTGACGAGACGTGCTACCACAGAATGGATGTTATTTGGCATTACATTTCATCAATGAAGGCTCCTGATCACACCACTCGCTTTCCTAGGCTTTCCAAAATAGCAATGCTAGTGCTCCTAATTCCGCATTCCAATGTGCAAGAAGAGTGAAATGGTCCGAAAGAATAAAACTGCGTTCCGGCCTAGCCTTGACCCCAAGGGTACATTATCAAGTATTCTGACTGTCAAACTTCCCAATGATGTGCCAGCCCATCAATTTGAACGGGAGAAAAAACTTCTAAAAACTGCTAAATCTGCGACATGGAAGTACAACAACAGGCTTTCTGGCATCCTTGTGTAGAAAAGTAGGACAAAAGTAGGACTAGAATTTTAGGAAAAGTAGGAAAATGTGTAGAAAAGTAGGACAAAAGTAGGAGTTTTGGAGATGTAAATAACACAAAAATATACAAAATTGGCCCCAAGGATATATGTGGTAAGGGGTAGATCATTAGATATCTGATGGGGAAGTTGTGTGAATTTTTGGTGCTCAATATTTTTATGTACTCATTCATCTATGCAGGATTTTTTTCTCAAAACTTTCAAATTGTATAGGCATAAAAGCTAGGGCATCTGCTCTGCAGCAACACTATTCAAATGCATGTATTGTGCTACACAATGCACCATTCCACACTGCAGCAGGAGCATATATCAGGGCTGTAGGAAGCTCTTTTCGATTGGGAGGGGGCTGAAAGCGAGGGCCGCGAAGGCCCAAGGAAATTTTTAAATTTAGAGTCTCTGAAATGCCATTTCCTGGACTTTGGGGAAGATTTGACAGAATTCTAATGGTCAGAAAACAGCGTTTTAGTATGTCAAAATTTACAAATTAGTAGTACTAAATGGGCGAAGATGTATTTAATTAACTATATATTAGATAAGTTGCAGAAAAGTATGGGTAATATAGCTTCATTCTTTGCAGTTTGTCATGGACTAAATTATAAAGGTCTGCATGATTTAAAAAAAAATATTATTAGCAAATTATTGGGGGGCTGCAGCCGCCCCCGCCCCCCTCCAGCAAATTACTGGGGGGGGCTGCAGCCTCCCCCCCCCTCCATTTGCTACGGCCCTGTAAATATGATGCTTGATTAACTGAGGGAGGAGTTGAATATTCGGAATCTCTAGATCGTCGGAAATGGCACTTTCAGAGTCTTCATTAATTTATTATGATTCTTGAGATGCTATGAAATTTTATACTCGGAAAATGTATTTCTTCTCCTCCTCCTGAGATCTTATGATCTGGAACACAAATAGGGAATAAAAATTACGAGTCCTATAGATCAAATTACGAGAGCTATAACATACTGATTCCCCAAGCTGTTTTAAAAAAAAGTAGGATTTTATGAGAAAAAGTAGGAAAAAGTAGGAAAATGAAGCAATTTTTAATAAAAAATAGGAAAAGTAGGAAAGTTGAAGAAAAGTAGGAAAAAGTAGGAAAAGTAGGATGGCAAGAAAGCCTGCATTAAAGTTTTGTTTTTTCGAAAGTATTTGTTTTGAAGTTTGAAGTTCGCGTGGTAGTTTGTCTATAATAAACATCGTATTAAATTACAATGAAATTTAAATTGGGCTGATACTGATCGTGTCTGCGTTAATATATATAGCGCGTTTGTTTTGTCAAAAATCATGATTTTCCAATCTTACCGTTTGCGCTAATAGTCAACTAAAACACAAGTTTAATGCAAAATGTAGATGTTACATGATATATTTATGTTGTGTGCGGTGGTCCATAAATGTTGTGTTACAATGTCTATACTGTCATTCTTGCGATGTGCGAGTACAAGTATTCGTTGCGCGCTCTAACTTTAAGAAAAATACGTCCGTATCACAGAATACTTCCC